CCACTGTTCTGTTCAAAGCGGTGGTGACATCAGTCGTTTCATACAAAACTAGTTCATATAAACCAAGTAAAACCTTCGATCAAAGTCAACACACACGTATGAGAAAAATACTAATCGAGTCAAAGTCCATACAAGTCGGCATCCTATGAAAATTTCAAAGCTACGTCCGATCGCAACCCACGACTCCTGCAAAGTCTACCATTACAAACACAAGTGAGAAAAATACCCAAAAAAAAAAAAAAAGAGATTCTTTTTCCCCTATAAAATTAAAATGACTTTACAGCTAGCTATACACACGAAGACAATATATTTTCATTGGTCTTTATTGAAACATTCTGAGTTGATTATTATATTGTTCGTGCCCATGTGTGAACATCATATACGTCTAATGATTTTTTTAAAGGGATAATCTTGTCGTTAGTCTAGATAAGATAAGAACGTATATATTGACTCTTCAACCCTAGATTTGTCGATATACTATATTTCAAATACTAAACTTGTTGGTCTTGCATATTCAATAATGGTTAAATTCAAATTTTCAACTCCTAATGATGAAAATTTAAGCATAAGAGGGACTGTCATAAAATTCAATGATGAGTAGCTGAGCAATAGGAAAATCTACAAACTTATTGCAGATTTCACTGAAGCAAGCAATGTTTGGTAGGGAGCATGCTATATTTAGCTTGAAAACCCTTATAAATTCAATTATAATGGTTGTATGATTATTAGTTTCAATAACCAGAATAATATTCATATAACCAGAAACCAAGCTACTTTGCATTGAGCTTGTAAATCAATTAAAACTTATATATGAGGAGATATTTAAGGCTGCAAAGGTAAGAGGTCGAGTGTTGGTGATGTTCTGAATGAGAGAGAGAGAGAGAGAGAGGGAGCAGCCCCAATACTTTCCAACTGTTTCTTTCTGTTCTTAACGTGTAAAACATAGTTTTTTGTAGTGCAAACGAAGAGAATAGACGGTATTTTGTACATGTTTCTAAATCACACAGGAAGAAGAGGCTGTTTTAGTCCCTTGAAATCTGTGGTGTCTATGCACTCATCCTTCTTGTACCCATTCAATAGTCTAAGGAGAGCGGTGGCCTTCTCCTTGGTCGCCTCACCACACCCAACCTGCAGCAGAAGCAAGAGCTTGTGGAAGGCTCCCGCTTGTTGAGCCTCTCGCAAGCATCTCCCTCTCCCTTCTCCCTCATCTCCTGCCTCCTCCTCGCCCCTGCACAGCTTCCACAGGGCCGAGACCACGAACTCGGTCGCCGTGTCCGACACCCGGAACATCTTCTTCACCAGCACCGGCGTCGTCAGCGCGTGACCGTATGCCTGCTCCCTGCCGCCGGCACACCCCACGAGCGCGTCCAGCACGGCCAGCGCCTTCTCGCACATGCTCTTCTCGGCGTCGACGAGCGTCTCTATGAGCACGGGCACCAGTCCCATACCGACCACCCGCGACGCCGTCCTCTCGCTGTAGTTGGTTAGGTAGAAGATGGCGACAAGGGAAGCCTTCGTGATCTGAGGGAGGACGGGCTCTTTGATGAGCTTCACCAGTGCTTCCACCAGCCCCGCCGTGTCGGCCGTGCCATCCGCTCGTGCTCCGCCGCACGCGAGCAGCTCCTTCACCACCACAGCCGCATTGAGCCTCGCGACCAGATCCCCGTGCTTTAAGATCGACACGAGACAGGTCAGGGACTCTGGCGATCCGACGTGCGAAGCGGCCTCCTCGTCGAGCGGTAGCAGCGTCGTCAGCGCGGCCAAGATCTCCTCCAGCACCCGCGTCACCGAGCCGTCGACGGAGGAAACACCGGCAAATGCACCGAAAGCGGCGGCCAGAGCCCGCCCGGTGCCATTCGACTCGAAGCACCCCCGGTTCCGCTCGCCCTCCCTCACCGAGCTCCTGACCTTCGCCACCAGCTGCCCGCACCGAGCGCGGTCGCGCCGCCGGCTGGCCGCGGCGATCTCCGACACGATGTCCGTGACCTGGGCCTTGGTGACGGGGATCTTGGGTGTGGGAATCCTCTCGATTCCGTTGGATCGGTTGGCGACGCACCAGTCCTGTATCATCTTCCGGATGGAGTGGTTGGGGATGAGGTCCTCTTGCTTCAGCTCCCGGTTGGTGACCGGGCACGTCGCGTTCCCCATGTCGAGCCACGCCTCGATGCTGGCCCGGTCGTAGGTGATCCCGGTCGACGCCGTCACCGGGTCCTTCATGAGGTCCAACGATATGGGGCACCGGAAGTGCGTGGGGATCGAAACCTCGACGCCGGAGATCCTCTTGACCGGCTTGTTCTTCACCAGGCTGGACCTGCGGCTTCTCCATGGCAGGGCCATGAGCGACAATGAGCTTGTTGGAGAGAGGAAGGGCGTGGATGCTGTGGGGGGAGGGGGGATGGGGGGTTGTGAGACTCGGAATGAGAGAGATGGGAGGGAAGGGTGAGTCTATATATAAGGCTGATGGGTTGTTTGCAGGAAATCGTTCAAAGAGGAGTGTCGAGAGGTTTGGAAGTGTTGGGGTAATTATGGCTATCGCTATGGATTTTGAACGTTGACCGTTGAAGCTTGAACGTTTAAAAACGCGGGCAGGAAACGGTAAGAACGAACCCTTCTTTCACACATCAACCCAACCTCTTTTTTTATGATTTAATAAATTAGAAGAAAAAAAAGTATATGATATATTTTGAATCCTTTTTTTATGTTAGAGCCTTGGAAGAATTTTACTTGTAAAGTCATAATTATGACTACTTGTTATAATAGCATTTCAGTTTGGTTAGTTAATCTATAGTTCGTCTTATTGGTATGCACTAATATATCGATCAATTGTCAGTTTGATACATACGGAGCTATATCAACACACGATATATGAGAGTGTATTGATAAATCGTCAATCCCCTTCCAAATCGGTACGTATCGTCCATATTAAATGATACACTGTAGTCCAACGACTTAAGTTAATCTTTAACTTATATAATGATGATTGTTTGATTAATGAGAAGAAAATAATCACTTGATTATGATTATGTTAGCATTTGTCGATCGAAGGAATCCATATATTTTTTAGTCAATTTCGAAATATTACAAGAGAAAAATTATGTAGCTCGAATTCGTCTTTTTTGTTTGGAGCTTTCGAAAAATTATATATATAAATTCATAATTAGGAGCTTTCAAAAAGTTTTATATGTAAATTCATAATCATTAACGGTCGTTCAAACATTTGTAATCAATTATGTTAAGATTGTTCGGCTTTTCATATTTTCTTAATTATTAGAATCAACAAGTAATAATGCTCTAATTGTTTGGAATGGAGACACATGAATCTTTTCCATTATTAAGCTATCGAGGAAAATATTTATAACTATTGTTGATGAATAGAAGGGAAGAAAAAAAAAACAAAAAATTACACTAAATCGACAAATAATTTTCCTCTATTTCCTATCTGAATGGTGGGTAGCATTCATTAGTTCTCTCTCATGTACGAGTCCACATTTGCTCGGATGTGAATGAAAGAATGGAAGGAAAAGCGTTCAATAACTTGAGTACGGAGTCAACGCGTGTACTTGGTCAAACGGTTCGTGGTCATGGTCTTCTAGTCGGGTCAACTGCATTGTCCAACAAAAGTACCCATTCTACAGGCAAAAGTAGGTACTCAATAATAACGATAAATCATCTCAGTTGGTGCCTTCTTGCCTACGTATGTATGTATATAAGCTATTTTCTTGGTACAATTACTTGGTATTATACTCGTACCTATCGATTCAAACACTTCTAAACCGGTTCGGGCCGATCCGACTTACCTAATTATTATTCTATTGGTTATATGTCTAATTTTTATTGGTTTGGTTGGATGATAAAAATGTAGACTCTGTGCAAGCAAAATTGATGGAGAGAGATTGTTGGTCACGGGAGTTGATTTAGTGATACATTGGATGGGGGTTTACTCATGAGAATAACTATGTTTTTCTTTTAGTTTTCTCTTGAATTATCACAAATGATGATATCATTGTTCTAAAATGATAGTAAATGATAACTATTTAGATGTATGAGTGCCTAAAATGATTCCAAGATAAAAGTGTCAAGTTCCTAAGACATCGTCTACATTAAAATCGGTGTCGAGAAAAGTTTTTCGACTTAATCTATCTGATACTTAAGTTAGTCATCGAAGATTTAACAGGTATAGTATTTTTTTTTTTTTTTAAGAAGAAAGCCCTCCGATGTAATATCGGAGATTCGCTTTTATACCTGATCTTAGATAGAACAATTATTTGTCGATGTAATATCTTAGATAGAACAATTCGCTTTTTTTAAGAAGAAAGCCCTCTGGTGTAATATCGATGATCTACTTTGAACTTTTGTTGACCAAAAAAACAAGTGAATGTTTATTCACGGATAAACAAGTGAATGTTGACCAATAACTTTTCCTTTTGAACCTTTGTTCACCCTGACGGATAAACAAGTGAATGTTGACCAATAACTTTTCCTTTTAGGACAGCTTTGACTGATTTAAGGGAAATATGTTAACAATATTCCAAAGCAAATCAATATTAGCATTTAGAAGTCGAAGAAAGGCTCGAAGGAGTAAACAATTTGACTTGGGCTTCTTTGAGGAGAATGCAAATTCCTTTAAAGACTAACTTTCAGGAAAATAAAAGCCACGGAGAAGACTGACTTCAAAGTACTGTCGAAGATTAGAAGTCAATCTGATGGTTCATTCCACATCGAGAGAGATGACAGCAAGATGAATCGTAGTAGCATCTCTATGTTGAACATTCTATGAACTATGATGCTTGTGGTCTTTTTAGGACAGAGATATAAGAAAGGCTCATGAAAACAAATCGTTCACCACATTCTTTGCAAGCAATGCATAATACACACACACACACACAGAGGAAATAGATTTTCCATTTCCTATTCCTACAATCTGAACAACTCCATTTCTCTTATGTATATATAAAATAAAAAACTTAAAAGACACTATAAATATTACAGATGATCATGAACACAGGAAAAGGCCAAGTGAATGGATGTGGTGGTGTAGGATAAACAAGTAGAAAAATGGAATGATGCCGCAGGACTTGTGCCTGTGATGATATCATGTGTCGTCCAAAAGCCAAATATATCTCTGCTTGTGCAGGAACTCCAATTCCCTTCCCTTTGTGTGCATCCAAGTGATAGCTTGTGTATCCCTTTAAAGTGATCCATGTTGCCATGTTGGTGGTGGCGAGATGTAGATGACAAGAGCATCTCAGTTATTAAAGGGACTGCAAAATTCCACAAGAAAGAGACTGCCATTTGTTCTGCCACCTCTGATCTCATCTTCTTCTTTCTGTGACAGGAGGAGGCCATTTCCCGCAGGGAAGTGCCGAGGGTGCATCAAGCAGCTTTTCCTTTATCGGTACTTGCTCGTTCCCTTGGCCCATTTGTCTACCATGGTTTCTCGAGTGCCACTGGAGTTTGGGTATTTATGATGCCTGTTCTGGTCCAATTCTGAGTGTTCTTGAATGTTTTGAGCTCAAGAATCTTGGTTGCTTGTGTCTTCTTTTTCCGTCTGCTGGGTGCTGCTACCTGTTCAGATCTATTTCGTTTCCTCTTACCATCTCGATGGATCATTCATTCCAAGCTTTACTTCATTCTTGGCAGCAATTCAATGCCTTTATGCAGCTGAAGGAGGCCTAAGCCTCATCGACAATATTTCTGCCGAACATGAACAGTTCCAACCCAGAACCATCATCATCAGATGTCTTGGAAGAAGCAAGCAGTCAAGCGGCTTCCGATATGTGTGGCCAAGAGTCTTCTCCTACTCCGCCGCCCTTCTCTCTCAATCCCTCCCTCACCATCAACGCAGGTCCAACAGCACCATCAGCTGTTCCGTGGTCGAGCACAAGCGAAGGCGGCAGCGCACCGAGTTCACAAAGAGTCTTCTCCTGCGGCTACTGCCGACGCAAGTTCTTCAGCTCCCAAGCCCTCGGTGGCCATCAGAACGCTCACAAGAGGGAACGAACGCTCGCGAAGAGGGCACTGAGTTCGCATGCATTTCTTCCACGCAGTTACGCCAGCATTGCGTCTTTGCCCCTTCATGGATCTGCTCTCCGGTCACTGGAGATCAAAGCACACTCATCGGTGCATCAGAAGTGGAGAGAGATCCATCGCAGCAGCAGAAGGTGTGGAAAAAGCTTGCTCGAGCCGAGGCCCGTCTTCCTGGAGGATGAGGAGACGAAGTTCCGTTGGCCTGGAAGCTTTAGGCCGATGGCAGGTTCGAGTTCAGAACCGGCGGAGGATTCAGATGTGGCAACAGGGGATCAGCAGCCGGTAGAGGAACCCGATCTCGCTCTCAGACTCTAAGCGCAGAAGCTGGCATCTTCTCTCCGAAAGCTTGTGTGTTCTTGATGTCATTCATGAACAATAATTCTATGCTTCTCGGTGTGATGATACGTCTCCAGGAGAAAGAATTTACTTCCGCCGACTAAATTTTCTGATGAATTGAAATCATGATCATTCGGAATTGTTCTCGGAACAAAGGAAAAGTTAAAAGATGAGAACAATATTTCATCAAAGAAGAACATCAGAAAGGAGTGGCAACGCAAGATCCCCACCATGTGGTCATGTTCTAAAGCGAAGGTCAAAATGAGAATCTTTGCCTTTGGGAGAAGATGTTGGATGGCAGAGTGCGCTCTTCAACCGATCACCTTACGATGCTTGACAGCAACCTGTTGTGGTTCCTTCCTCCTCTCGCTTCATTAGTAGGATAAGCCTGTCAGCTTGATGTTGAGCAGGAGAATCTTCCATCTCCCCACTCGTTCACGAAATAGTTCGACATAACAACTGCAGGAAAACTGCCGCTTTGCCGACGCGTCGTTGACAGTAAACAAATCACAGCCGTCCAATCAAAAGTCAAACGGTCCACTAATATCTCCTCTCTCCTTCTTCCGTACGAAATCCTAATTGTAATAATAATAATGAACTCATTTATGTCAGACTCAACCTCAACAAATGACAGTAAATTAAGCAAATTTTTCTTTTTCTTTTTTTTGAACTTTCTTTACATTTATTATATTATATATATATATATTTTTTTAAAAAAATTTAATTTAATTTTTTGAAAGAAATAAAGATTTGATTTCAAAATTTTAGTTTAGAAAATTAATATTTTATGCTAACCAAAGAAAATTTTAGACATTGCGAAGACGTGAATGTTTTGAGGGTTGACAGTAAGATTTTGGGAATCAAAGCTCATCTTTACTTACTTTTGATTTGAAAAGAAAAAGATATATAATATTGCTGCTTTGGATTCATTTGGCTTGAATATTCACATGATTTTAGCAAACCAGAAAAAGGCAAACTTGGGAGAAAACAATTATTTCTCAGGGTGTCAGGAAATGGATGAGAATGGGGAGGAGGGGGGGTGGGGGAGCGAGTCCAAGTTGGTCTGCCAAAACAGGGGACCGTCCGACCACCTTCCCTCTTCCAGTGTTATCTCTCCTCAATCCAAACGAAACACCTACATTTATGATGATACCAACATTTGGTTTACAATTCTGGCCGTCTGGATCGATCAAAAGCCTATCTTTTGCCCTCTCTGTCTTCCTCCCATTTCTAGAGGGAGAGCTCCTCTCTCCCCCCTCTCTCTCTTCTGTGGTTTGTTTCTCTGTCCTTGCCAGTGAAAAAGATTTTTCCTTTCCTTAGTTTTTCTACTAGATTTTGCCCACTTGCGAACATTTACATTGCAAAGATCTCAACTTGGGACCTTAAAAGTCCGATCTTTCCATTTGCATCCGGGGACGCAGACTGCTGGGTTCATCGTTGCTTCCGTGGTAAGTTTCTGAATCTTTGCAAGTGAAAGGGTTTCGTTTCTTTTTCTGTGGACGCGAGCGAGACTATCATTCTCCCGTGTTGCCATCGGTTTTTCCACTAGATTTTGCCTACTTCTGAACATTTATATTGAGAAGATCTGAGCTAGGAACCCTAAAAGTCCGATCTTTCCCTCTGCATCGGGGAACGCAGGTTGCTGGGGTTCGTTGTTGCTGGGATTATATCCTGCATTTGGTCTTTTCCTTGGTTGTTTGATCGGGTTTTGTTGTTGAGATTTCTACAAAAAATGTTGCCTTTCTGTTGCTCTTTGGTTACTTTGCCATCGATTTACCATTTCTCATTATCTTTCCATGAAGGGGAGGTTGATGGCATTGATGAGATGAATCCAATGTGTCGTCCGATGGGTTGATCGAATCGGTATAAAAGTTCGAATTTTCTTGTTTGGTACAGTCAGCAATTTCGTCGGACTTCTCCTCGGTTCTTCTATCATCCGCTTCCATGGATGACGATGGTGGATTGGGCATCCGGAACTGGGGGTATTATGAGCCGTCGTCGAAGGGAAACCTTGGACTGCGGCTCATGTCTTCCACTGTGGAGCAGGATGCCAAGCCCCTTTTGTCGAATGCTGGGTTCATTCATCGGCACTGCAGCATTCCGGAGCCAACAGCTCCAGTGGACTTTATGAGTGATGGATGGTTTCACCATAGCAACGACAATAGCAAGAATGACTATGTGAGAGACGGGTTGATGCGCCATAGCAATAACAATAGCAAGAATCTCCACATTTTGCCAACGAGCCACCAACACCACCCAACTTATAGCGTGCTCCCTGAACCCCCCACCATCGAGAACGTCCAGATGCTGCAACATCTGGAGCCGCAGCCCAAGGATGACAAGGTTCCAGTGACAGATGAGACCGTAGTTAGAAATGAGTCTCCTTTGAAGAAGACGCCCAGGAGTAGTGCGCAGAAACCCCCAAAGACGAAGAAGCCTAAGAAAGTCACTGCACCAAAAGATGAGGTTGCCAATGGTTCAGCCTCACATGGGAAGTCTGGAAGGAAGAGCACAGGCATGGTCATTAACGGGATCAATTTTGACATGTCGAGGATTCCGACTCCAGTCTGCTCTTGTACCGGAAAGCAACAACAGTGCTACCGATGGGGAATTGGAGGGTGGCAGTCAGCGTGCTGTACCACCAGTGTGTCAATATATCCCCTTCCGATGAGCACGAAGAGGCGGGGGGCACGCATTGCTGGCCGAAAAATGAGTCAGGGTGCATTTAAGAAGGTGCTGGAGAAGCTGGCTGGAGAAGGGTACAACCTTTCTAATCCAATTGACTTGAGGACATTCTGGGCTAAGCATGGTACCAACAAGTTTGTGACTATCAGGTAAAGATGTTGGCTTGTTCTATCAATCTACCTTTGCATTGGATCATTGTTTTCATGGTGTTATTACTTTGTGTCCTGCAGAGGTCCTTCGATATAAGTTTGAGCAAAATTTTCTCGTATTTGCCAACTTAACATGCTTTTTTAGGTTTACACACTGGGGTTATATGTGCAACTTGCTTTCTTCCCTGGTCACTGAAACTTGTAGTTCGAATAGTGCTGCCTAGATCTTATGGTTTTCTCATCTAATGAATTGTAAATCATCATCACCTGCTTCATACTCGTAATGATTTAGTCCAGTACATTGAATGTTTTGGCATTCTATCTTTGATGGTTGCCTTATATCTATGAAGTTTTATGGTTATTTTCCTGTTGTAGATTCTTAATGTTCTGTGTATTTATTCTTAACCATGCTAAGTGCTTCAAATTAGATGCTGATAGCACCGAGTGATCGCTTATAAGTCAATTGCTTTAATGTAATTTAGGCCACCTTCTGCAATCGTCCAAAGGCCTAGGTGCTTCATATGTATGTGTCGCTTTAGTTCCACTAAATTCCAAGAAAAACATTTAATAGATGATCAATATAATAATGGAATTTTCTGCTGATATTTATAATTTCCTGGTAGGAAAAACATTGGTAGACCTTGCTGTGAAGAACTTGTGCTCAAACATTTTTGCACTGTGTTCTGTTATATCAAGAAGCTTAACCTATTTTGCTTTTAAAGCAGACTATGATTAGTTTCCATATCTACAGATATCTATGTTTCTAGTATTGGTTTTATCTTCAGTTTTGACAGTGGTTTTAGCCATTCTGGTTAAGATCTTACTTGTTTTAACTAATACAGATTGGGGATTATCAGTTTTAATAGAAATATATATTTGAAGTTCACTTCATCGAAATAAGTAATGATCAACTTAGCCAGTATTTGTGGCATGAGCAGTCTTGTTTGATCCATACTGGTGGCCATGATTGTTTTGGTTGTAACGATTGATCCAGACTCAACCCAAAACCAGAACTTGGTGAGAGTTTCAGATTACGAACATCCTTTTCAATTAAAATAAGCATGACCTATTCAAATCGGCACTGTCTGCATATGGTTTGAAGTCACATATATATATATATATATATATATATATACATATATATATACATGTATATATACATGTATATATACATGTATATATACATGTATATATACATGTATATATACATGTATATCCATTGAAGTGGAATGATCTTCCATAAACAACAAACACATATTCCTTAACACGAGTTAATGGTTTCAGAATAATTATTAGAAATCAAACTCGAGATGGAATAGATGTATGTGCATCGTACTTATGTTGCCAAAGTTAATTTAAATTTTACCAAGTTGTAAAAAATTGCTCATGTTCATTTGGAAAGCATGGTACTCTTTTGTTTT